CACAGCCAAACTGTGGAATGCTCTGCCTTCTTCTGTGTTTCCATACTCATACAATCTGTCTCACTTTAAAAAGCTTGTTTTCCGGCATCTTTTCTATTTTTTTTACTCTTATGTCGTCGTATATTGACAGAAAATAGATTCCTATAGACATGACTGTCCGTTACGTACACTGGATGAATCGCACTGTACTCGACAACCTTCACTTCCTTAACAGCAAACTTAGGTATCTATTTACTGCTGGGTGGACTAGGAGTAACCCGTGATCGAACCAACGGACCTTAGGACATGGGTGAAAGCTGTAACCACTTAGTCATCGCCCCCACCCCCTTCCCCTGTGTAGTACGAATTTGTTGTAATTCTTAAAAAAAAATCTTTGCTATAAATGCTACAGTAAACAGTTTATTATATCAATACGATTTTATTAATATAAGAAATAACAATTGAGCCTAATAGAATCTTTAACATCTTCTGAACCTAACTTAACCCTTCTGAATCTTTGGATGCAGTAGTATCTTACTGAACCACTGAATCTAGAACCAACCCTTCGTGAATCTTTCAACCTAATACCCTAAATATTAAAAAAACCTGTCGAGTGAATTATAATTATTTACGTCGGTGTTTCACTAACTTTCGAAACGCATGTGACCAACACCTTCAAATACAACAAATTAAGTTACTTACCTCAGTAGGTGCGATGTGAAGCTGCTTCTTCCGCTCATCTGTAAACATCATTTGAAGCATCATTAGTGTGACATATATAAGAAAATAATATATATCTATTACATATATGATATATTTAAATCTCTGACACTAAGTTTAAAACTATCCTAAGGTATCTAATGGAGGATATATTAAAGGGTGAGTTAAACTTTACGAAAGACGTCGGTAAATGTGTAACTGTTTAACTTATTTCCTCTGTTATTTTTCTTTTAGCTTCATATTTTTCCTTTATTCTTGAGTCACTCCTTATACTGGTGTGAAATAACCCAGGATCAGAGCCTGAATAACTCACACATTGTACGTAATGTGTTATGGAAGGTAGTGTTTATTAGAGCACTAGTGTGGGTTGTTGTGGTTATTACTGTAGTTGTGGTGGTTGTTGTAGTTGTCGTGCCTGTGGTTGTTGTTGTGGTTATTGCAGTAGTTATTGTTGTAGTTGTTGTGGCTATGTTTGTTAATGTTGTGGTTATTGTTGAAATATAGTTGTTATTGTTGTAATATTGTATTTATTGTCTTTGTTATGCTTGATACTTTTGTTGTTATGGTTGTTGTTGTTGTTAATGATTTATTTTAGGTACTTCAAAAGCTAAGGTTATTAAGCAGTGACAACAGACACTTTAAGTTTAAGGGGTAGTGTGTGTGTGTGTGTGTGTGTGTGTGTGTGTGTGTGTGTGTGTGTGTGTTTACGGGATTAACCCACCAGGGCACAGGTTCAGTGACCCACATCAGGGCCTGGGGGACGAAAATGTAATAATAATAATAATAGTAATAATAATAATAATGATGATGATGATAATAAATAAAAATTATAATAAAAAACAATAATAATAATAATAATAATAATAATAATAATAATAATAATAATAATAATAATAATAATAATAATAATAATAATAATAATAATAATAATAATAACCACAAATAAATACAAAATTGAAAAAAAAAACCAAATCAATAGGTCCAAACGATATATGCAATTGTGTGTAAATGTGGCAGAAAGTCAGATCATCAACCTGGGACTTGGTCACATTTGGCAGCAGGGTCTACCATTAGACAACACATTATGCTTCCAATATCTTCCCAGGCGGTAGTACCACCCTGTTTGGTAGCTGTGTGTGCAGTGTGTGTGAGGCGCGGGTGTGGGTGGAAGGCGGGGGAGGAACTGCCTTTGGACACTCTACTTTAACTGTTGCAAGTGGTGATCCGCTGTGCACAATGACACAGCTGCTAATGCGTAGGTGACCAACTAGTTAATATAGGATATACAGTATCAGTAGTCGCCGCTGATTGACTGAAATAACTAATTTTTACAAGCTCCTCGATGTTCATTGGCTGATCAGTATATTGGCGCGTCTGGCCCTTGAAAAATGATCTTTAGTATTAATATATTAGTACCTGGTATTTTTCCCAATCTTTCTGCAAGGTATTTTGTCAGCCATCTACAGTATATGTAAACACACACACACACACACACACACACACACTAGAGAGAAATTAAACCTCCACATTCAAAGTATTTACTTTTACTATAAAACTGTACTATAAGACTCAACGCTATTATAAGACCACTATAAAATTCAACACTACTGTAAGAATCGACACCACTATAAGACTACAATAAGACAACGTCGCACTATAAGACTCAACCCTGCACTATAAGACTCAACACTGCACTATAAGACTCAACACTGCACTATAAGACTCAACCCTGCACTATAAGACTCAACCCTGCACTATAAGACTCAACCCTGCATATAAGACAACCCTGCACTATAAGACTCAGCACTGCTAGGCCTCAACACTGCACTATAAGGCCTCAGCCACACTATAAGACTCCAACCCTGCACTATAAAACAACACTGCACTATAAGACTCAACACTGCACTACTCAAGACTCAACCCACTACTATAAGACTCAACCCTGCACTATAAGGCTCAACCCTGCACTATAAGACTCAACCCTGCACTATAAGACTCAACCCTGCACTATAGACTCAACCCTGCACTATAAGACTCAACACTGCTATAAGACTCAACCCTGCACTATAAGACTCCTTCCTGCACTATAAGACTCAACACTGCACTATAAGACTCAACCCCTGCACTATAAGACTCAACACTGCACTATAAAGACTCCTTCCCTGCACTATAAGACTCAACCCTGCACTATAGACTCAACCCTGCACTATAAGACTCAACCCCACCACTATAAGACTCAACCCTGCACTATAAGACTCAACACTGCACTATAAGACTCAACACTGCACTATAAGACTCAACACTGCACTATAAGACTCAACCCTGCACTATAAGACTCAACACTGCACTATAAGACTCAACACTGCACTATAAGACTCAACACTGCACTATAAGACTCAACACTGCACTATAAGACTCAACACCGCACTATAAGACTCAACACTGCACTATAAGACTCAACACTGCACTATAAGACTCAACACTGCACTATAAGACTCAACACTGCACTATAAGACTCAACCCTGCACTATAAGACTCAACACTGCACTATAGACTCAGCTACCCATAAGACTCAACACTGCACTATAAGACTCAACACTGCACTATAAGACTCCAACCCTGCACTATAAGACTCCTTTGCACTATAAGACTCAACACACTGCTATAAGACTCCTTGCTGCACTATAAAAGACTCCAGCTTACTGCACTATAAGACTCCAACACTGCACTATAAGACTCAACACTGCACTATAGACTCAACTTGCTACTTTCTCAGGACTCCAACCCTGCACTATAAGACTCAACACTGCTATAAGACTCAACCCTGCACTATAAGACTCAACACTGCACTATAAGGCTTCAACCCTACTACTTAGACTCAACACTGCACTATAAGACTCAACACTGCACTATAAGACTCAACACTGCACTATAAGACTCAACCCTGCACTATAAGACTCAACACTGCACTATAAGACTCAACACTGCACTATAAGACTCAACACTGCACTATAAGACTCAACACTGCACTATAAGACTCAACGCCGCACTATAAGACTCGACACTGCACTATAAGACTCGACACTGCACTATAAGACTCAACACTGCACTATAAGACTCAACGCCGCACTATAAGACTCAACGCCGCACTATAAGACTCAACGCCGCACTATAAGACTCAACACTGCACTATAAGACTCAACACTAGAGGAAAATTGTCTTGTTTTGGTCTCAACTTATCATAGAAATAATGAAACAAATATATTAAGTTCTGTACTATATATTGATCCCGATCTTAAGTTAAGCCTACTTAACCTACCTTAATTTAACCTTTGTCTAACCTAAGTAAACCTAACCAAACCTATCTTAAGTTAACCTAACCTAACCTACCTTAAGTTAACCTAACCTAACCTACCTTAAGTTAACCTAACCTAACCTTCCTTAAGTTAGCCTAACCTAACCTATCTTAAGTTAACCTAACCTACCTTAAGTTCATCTGGCCTAACCTACCTTAACCTAACCTTCCATAAGTTAACCTAACCTAACCTACCTTAAGTTCATCTGACCTAACCTACCTTAACCTAATCTTCCTTAAGTTAATATAACCTAACTTATTAAGTTAACGTAACATAGCCTACACCAAGTTAATTTATTCTAACATAAACTAAGTAACCTAATCCAACCAAAGCAAATCTACCCAAGTTAGCCAAACCTAGGTTAATTTAACCTTAACCAAGTCAAATCTAACATACCGTAACTTAATTTAACCTAAAGTAACCTAATTAACTTAACCTTACCAACTAACCACAAAAGAAGTAAACTTAAGCTAATCAAAACACAACAAACCTACACACAAAATGTCCATCCAAACAAAATTACGAAAAATTTCAATTTTTACGACTGGACTTAGACATTTATTAACATGTTTATGACGTCATAAACCCTCGCTGGTTCCCTCATTTTCAAGATGATGCGAAATTTTCTCGAACTCATAAAACAGAAGTAAACAAATATTAAGGTAAACAAGGGGATACAACAATTACAACGATATATTGTAAAAATCTAACGTACATTTTAACAATACGCATTAATATATAAAACGAAAATCTGTCCTCGTGTTATACAGCAACATAAACTTTAGCGTTACGTATTGTAAAGTTAAAACATTATGAGTGTACAATACAAACTAGTCCAAATGTTGACGTAGCAGAGTTATATAGTTCAGGTATATAAACATTGTATACCTATCTCCTCCCTTCCAAGAGCATTAACTTCATAAGAGCATAACATGAAACGGACAGTGACATCAAGAACAACAACATCAAGGACAGTGGCATCAAGAACAATAACATCAAGGACAGTGACATCAAGAACAACAACATCAAGGACAGTGGCATCAAAGACAGTGACAACAAGGACAGTGACAACAAGGACAGTGACATCAAGGACAGTGACATCAAGGACAGTGACATCAAGGACAGTGACAACAAGGACAGTGACATCATCAAGGACAGTGGCATCAAGAACAATAACATCAAAGACAGTGACAACAAGGACAGTGACAACAGGACAAGGACGTGACAGGGACAGTGACAACAGTGACATCAAGGACAGTGACAACAAGGACAGTGACATCAAGGACAGTGGCATCAAAGACAGAGACATCAAGGACAGTGACATCAGGACAGTGACAACGGGACAGTGACATCATCAGGGACAGTGGCATCAGAACAATAACATCAAAGACAGTGACATCAAGGACAGTGACAACAAGGACGGTGACATCAGGACGAGTGACATCAAGGACCAGTGACAACAAGGACAGTGACATCAAGGGACAGTGACAGCAAGGACAGTGACATCAAGACAGGTGACAACAAGGACAGTGACAACAAGGACAGTGACATCAGGACAGTGACATCAAGGACAGTGACAACAAGGACAGTGACATCATCGGAACAGTGGCATCAGAACAATAACATCAAAGACGGTGACAACAAGGGACAGTGACAACAAGGACAGTGACATCAAGGGACAGTGACATCAGGACAACAACAAGGACGGTGACATCAAGGACAAGTGACATCAGGACAGTGACATCAAGGACAGTGACAAGCAGGACTGTGACATCAAGGACAGTGACATCAAGGACGGTGACAACAGGACAGTGACATCAAAGACAGTGACAACAAGGACAGTGACAACAAGGACAGTGACATCAGGACAGTGACATCAGGACGGTGACAACAAGGACAGTGACATCATCAAGGACAGTGGCATCAAGAACAATAACATCAAAGACAGTGACAACAAGGACAGTGACAACAAGGACAGTGACATCAAGGACAGTGACATCAAGGACAGTGACAACAAGGACAGTGACATCAAGGACAGTGACAACAAGGACAGTGACATCATCAAGGACAGTGACATCAAGAACAGTGACAACAAGGACAGTGACATCATCAAGGACAGTGACATCAAGAATAGTCATGAAGGGCTGTGACATCATGGACTTTATCTATCTAAATACAAACACTCCATCTATCGTTATTACCTCCTAACACTCCTCCATCTATCGTTATTACCTCCTAACACTCCTCCATCTATCGTTATTACCTCCTAACGATTCTTCTCTCTCTCTCTCTCTCTCCTTCTCTCACTTTATCCTCTTCTTTTCCGTCACCTCCCTCTTTCTTCCTCTTCCCTCATCCTTTACCTCGCCTTCCCCCTCTTCCTTCCTTCCCTCACATACCATCAGTCAATCTTCCCTCCCATGGTCACTACGTTACGGCACTTATTACCCTCTTGCCCTAGGAAGAGCAACACAGATTTCGTTACTAATCTGTATAATAATATCGAGAGATATTACTTCACTCACTACACCTTTATTCTACCATACACACACCTGTTTCTCAATCACCGTACCTCTCTAAACCTGTGAAATAGTCTCCATACTTTTTTTTTTAATTTTTATGACTCAAAATAATTGAATAACTTTTAATATTTTTAAAGGCTTTTGAGATGTCTTGTTATGCCTTAAAACATCTCTCACAGCGTTAATAAGTCTCGCAGCGCCTTAAAACATCTCTCACAGCGTTTATAAAAGTCTCTCAGCGCCTTAAGACATCTCTCACAGCGTTTATAAGTCTCTCAGCGCCTTAAAACATCTCTCACAGCGTTTATAAAAGTCTCTCAGCGCCTTAAAACATCTCTCACAGCGTTTATAAGTCTCTCAGCGCCTTAAAACATCTCTCACAGGTTTATAAATCTCTCAGCACCTTAAAACATCTCTCACAGCGTTTAAAGTCTCTCAGCGCCTTAAGACATCTCTCTAGCGTTTATAAAGTCTCACAGCGCCTTAAAACATCTCTCACAGCGTTTGTAAGTCTCTCAGCGCCTTAAAACATCTCTCACAGCGTTTATAAGTCTCTCAGCGCCTTAAGACATCTCTCACAGCGTTAATAAAAGTCTCTCAGCGCCTTAAGACATCTCTCACAGCATTTATAAGTCTCTCAGCGCCTTAAGACATCTCTCACAGCGTTTATAAATCTCTCAGCACCTTAAAACATCTCTCACAGCGTTTATAAGTCTCTCAGCGCCTTAAAACATCTCTCACAGCGTTTATAAATCTCTCAGCGCCTTAAAACATCTCTCACAAGGTTTATTTGCATCTCTAAATTCTTCAACATCATTCTTGACTTCCCCCCCAAGGCGCCAACAGCATGCCCGCCTTTCATCACCCTCTCAGATATCTCAACATCGATTCCTCCATCTTTCAATGCTGCCTAAATATTTGAGTGTGTGCGTGGGCCAAGCCTCCCCCTTCGGCTGCTGATGGAAACCCTGTCTTATATAATCACAGACTTTCAAGAGGACGAGGAAACAATAGCCATTTTTATACTAGTCAATGTAATAAAATAAGTTATTAGTTCTTACGGATCACCTGAAGATTAGTCACCACAGATTGTTTCACCTAAATATTTACGAATCTAACCTAACCTAACTTAACTCCACCCCCCCCCCCCAAAAAAAAAAATAAGTAACGTTAGTGTGGTAACTCTTCACGTAAAATAATATATTGGTGTCTAACCTTCAGGTGATCCGTCTAAACTACACTAAACGTTTTGCTATAACTTATTTACTAATACGTTTCATTAATAACGCTTCAGGGGAAATTCTTTATTTATTACTTTTTAATCTTAGTTTCAGCATCTTAAATTGACTCCCAACAAGTCTTGTTAGAATTTAACATTAGCTACCAGCGTCTGATGTTAGCTACCAGCGTCTGACGTTAGCTTCCAGCATCCTATCCTCCGCAAAAAGGTAAAATCCACGCGTATTTGGGCAGGACAAGTGCTGAGTGGTCCTCGCCCAGGTATGACGTCAGTAGGTATACATTCCCGTTTCTAAGTTAGTGACTCCCTGACGACCGGATAAGAGAGTGGATATACCCCACTGTTAACGAAGACTTTTTATACCGTACACCAGGAGACAGTGTGGCGAGCAGTGTACACGAGCGCCTTCACTTCCCAAACATGAGGCCTTTGAGCGCTTACCAACTATCATTTACACAGGAGGAGGTGAGGGTTATATCCACTGGGCCACCACACCGCGGAAGTTAGGTTAGTTTAGATTAATATCGCGTTAAGGAACTTTCGGGATGGTGGTAGTGGGATGGACACTGCCTGACGTCATGGTCGACAAGAGCCTATCAGTGCTAGTCACGGGTGGACAAAGACCAATCAAGGCGGGTGAATCCTCCCCTCTCCCCGCCAGGCAGATAGCGTTATCTTGAGTGGCTGAATGTGCAAGCACCTATAGCCTGTGTGACGCTCTCTTCAGTGTACTGTTGTATCGGCAATGGTATATTATGTCTGGTTAAGGTAAGAATGTGATAGAGAATACAATATATGAAAAACTTTAAATTATGCTCTAACCATAAACCCCTATGCTCCATCATCAATGCTTCTCTCAGTCAAGCCAGATGCCCAGCTGAATGGAAGACCTCTTATGTATCACCAGTGCCCAAGTCAACCAGCCCACAATCCTTAAATCAGCTACGACCTATTGCAATCACCCCAATACCCAGCCTAATCTGTGAAAGTTTTGTGTTCGACTGGGCTTATGCTGATATTGCAGGAGTCGTAGACCCTCAGCAATTTGGCATCATGAAAACTTCCTCCACCACTCACTGTCTTGTCAGCTTTCTCGATTACATATACCGCCATCTCGAGAAACGAAAAACGTCTGTAACTGTCGCCTTCATTGATTTCACTAAAAAGCATTCGACCTAGTCGACCACAATATAATCATCAACAAAGCTATTGACCTCGGGCTTCGGAGAAGTCTTATACCATGGCTTACAGACTTCCTCAGTGACCGACGCCAAGCTGTACGCTTCCGAGGGGCTGTCTCCACCTTTCAGTCACTCACCTGTGGCGTCCCCCAAGGCACCAAGATGGGACCACTCTGCTTCCTTATGCTCATCAATGATGCCCTAAGAAAAACCCCTGCTCGCTGGAAATATGTCGACGACTCCACCATTGGGATCAGCGTCAACAATTCTGCTCCCGACTATACCGCCCTTCAGGATTTATTGAACAGTCTCCAAAACTGGGCCACCAACAACCATGTCACCATCAACCATACCAAGACCATGATTATGCACATCAACCTCTCCTCCGACATTGTCCCACCTCCTTCCATTACTTTAGGTCCGAACACACTCCAGGTTGTAGATTCCACGAAGCTCCTCGGCGCCACCATAGACAACAAACTAAATTGGAAACCACACGTCAGTGAAGTTGTCAAATCCTCCAGTTTCCGTCTCCACCTCCTCCGCCGACTCAAGTCCCTCGGAGTTCCTGCACCCGAGCTCCTCAGTGTTTACACAACATTCATACTTCCTAAGCTCACCCTTGCCTCCCCTACCTGGTCTTCCTCCCTAAATGCCACACAACGTAAACACCTAGAAAAAGTGCAAAAGAGGGCATGCAAGATTATTCTCTCCCCTTCCTACTCCACATATCAAGAAGCGCTCAACACACTGACCCTTTCGACTCTCACTGACCATCACCACGACCTCATCTGCAAATTTGGTAAGAAGCTTCTACACCATCCTCGACACCGGCTCCTACTACCACCTGAGATCCCTAGCCCGAGAATTGCTGTTCGACACCACAACCGCATCCAGCCCATACGAGCACGAACTGATCGCTATAAGAACAGCCCAGTCCCAACCATTGTAAAAATTATCAATAACTTGTAATAAACCAGTGTATTCACTCCCAGTAAATACTACTTCTTGCACTGTCACTATGTTGAAATGCACTGTAGTTTGAGCTTTTCCCCATCAAGTTATTATATATCTTATTTGTATCACTTATGTTACTTGTATATTATTTGTAATTCGAAACCCATTCCCCAAATATGTAACTGTATATTTTCAGCCTTCTGGCTGCCAAGCTCTTTCAATAAACCGTTAATTATTATTATTGTTATTTATTATTACAACAACATTCCCTGGGCACAACAGATTCACCTTCATCACCCTAACAGTCATTTACTCTCTTAATAACCATAAAACTTTTAATAATCCCAAATGAAGTTGAAAAATTGTGACTCGCATTATTGTCTTTTGTCCAAACGACCACTGCATCACCAACACTAACAATGGTGCATTGAGTCTTTTACCTTCACTGTTACGCAAGTCAATAATGATTATGATAATGATAATGATAATGATAACAATAATAATAATAATAATAATACTGATAATAATAATAATAATAATAATAACAACACAACTAGTTACCCAGCATCGCTCGGGTGGAGGGACGGTACTGCATATCATCCCCAAGGACTCAGTCCCTACCACATTTCAGCTCTGTCTTGAAAACTGGAAATGCATCCGACCCGTGGGTGGGGGGGGGGGGTCATGGTCGTACTCCTAACCACATTTCAGGAACGAACACACACACACACACACACACACACGCCTCACCTCTTGGTAACCTTCAGATAAAATACAATGTGAAACTTAATGTAGGAGGCTGTGGTGTTGGAGGGGACTGGAAGGCCATTTCTGACTTCAAGGGCCATTCTGAAATTTCGTGGCCATTTGGGTGTTTATGGGTAATTTTAGAGGTTCATGGCCATTTATGAGTTTAAAGGCTACTGTGAAGTTTCAGGGTCATTTATGAGTTTAAGGGCCATTTTGGAGTTCCAGGGCCATTTATGAGTATAAGGGTCATTTTGAAGTTTAGGGCCATCATTGCAGTACAGACCCATTATTAGAGTACAGGGACATTACCAGAGTACAGGGTCAATATTAGAGTACAGGACTATTATTAGAGTACAGGGCCATTAATAGAGTACAAGCTATTATTAAAGTACAGGGCCATTATCAGGGTACAGGGCCATTATCAGGGTACAGGGCCATTATCAGGGTACAGGGCCATTATCAGGGTACAGGGCCATTATTATAGTACAGGGCCATTAATA